CATATATATATATATACACACACATGTATATATACACATACATGTATGTATGTATATATATATATATGTATATATATATATATATATATTTAGAGGGCAGGTTAAGAGTCGGCAGGAGAAGTTAAAGTAACAGGTCAGGTTCAGGTAGGCTAGGGAACTCGAATTCAGGAATGTGAGTTGAGATGAGGTCAGGTCGGGTACGGTGAGTGTAGGGCCGGGTAGATGCAACCTCGGGCCAAGCAAACATGCTTTCTGGTAGTACTGCAAGGCAGGGAAATGCTGCAATTGGGCTCGGGTTGATGTTGTGTTAAGGGGTATGCTACAATGTCTGAAGCGACTCCAGTGCCGATTCATTCGTGCACATCTTGCTCTGGTAGGATGGGCACTGTGGAAACTTCAACTTCGATCCCAGTGATGATACAAAGGCACAGTGCCGGTCTCGCATAGTGAGTTGCGTGTTTTTGTTGAGACATTCTGAATTGGCAGGAGCTGATCCTGGAGAGGAGTGGAGGCCCCGTGTCCAAGGATGAGTCGCTATTTCCCGAATCAGGCGACTGAGCTGGAACAGCCGCTGCAGCGAGCTGCAAAACGCTAACTGTGGAAGAAGCTGCTTTTTTGCATCTGAGGACCTGTGATTCAGGCCTTCGTCGAAAAGTCGCTGGAGGAATGTGACGCCGAGGCGCAGAACGCTTGAGCAGTGGCTTCACAGTTAGCTTCGCTGTTAGCTTCAACAGAGCTCTCAGTAAGGTGCGGCTGCAAGCAGAGGACGTGTGTGGATCGCATGGCATCTCGAGCTGCAAGAGATCTATCCTGCAATCTGCACTGTCTTACATGCCATACTGAGCCCTGCTTACAGAGGCCACAAAACTCGCGCACTGCTCGATGCATGCATCTTTGACTTCTGCTTCGCCGGGAAAGACTTTGCGGTAGAAGACAACATCGTCATGCAAGAAGCAGAGACAGACTAATGACCATAATGACTGATTCTGCCAGTTTTGATTGCCTGCAAGTGCCTGCACCTGCACGATCATTTCCCATCTCTCCGAACAGCTGGGAATCGGGTTTGACGTGCTATATACAGCAGCTTCAATTCATGTCTTGCGACGTGAAAGCATGGACTTTTGATCGCACGACAATAGTCTGCGATGAATGCTGACACTGTGTGGCGACAAGGCCTCAACCAGAGCAGTTGCCAGGCAGTGCCCTCCTACACCCTCCTACAGGGCTACAGATGGGCCCCCGAGCAGGCCTTGCAGGCCAATAGCCCCGACCTGGTTGTTCTTGCGCCGGGCGGACGAAAGAAGTGCGAGGCTTTTCTGCAGGCATCCTCTCCTTCAGCTTTGGAGTTTCGGAGAGCAGCACAGCTCCTCAGGTGGCGATGAGCAGCCTCCACAGGCGAGACTCAGCATCCCCAAGCGCGTGGGAAGTAGAGATGATTTGATCGAAGGTTGTTGGAGGCAACTTCTTCTGTGCGGACATCATGGCCAGAAGATGTGTGGAGGCACTCTCCCAAAGCTTGCGATACTGATCATGTCAGGGTGCAAATCATGTACAAATATCCAGTCAGAGAATTCTGACATCATGGCTGAATTCTAGTTCTCGGTCAACAGTAGGCATTCCGAGTTGTTCTTATCCTCGTGCCCTGTCCTTGGGATGTTTGCAAACACTTGCGCACACTCGAAAGCCACGCGTGTATGACTTGCGTGGTTCGTCACAAGCTGTGGGCAGCTTTGTTCGCCCGCCCGCCCTCCCCCTTTTTCTCGTGCACCCATGTTGTGCAAAGATAAGGAGGGATGTGACATGCTGCTGTGCGAGCTGTGTGCCTGCGCTACAAAAAGTCACTGCGCGTGTGGACTTTTGTTTCGACCCTTTCTCATGCTTTGGCGTGCCCCCCGAAACAATCCACAGAACTGGGTTCTGCAAGCGACGACGATGCGCCGCAGACTCCTGCACAGTCTAGCAGGTCCAGGGACCTAGACGCACCGACTCCTTGGTCAGACAACACCGCGCAGACGGCTGAGGGGCTTGTGGACAAAGGAGCAGAACCTGGCCATGCTGTGGTCCAGAATCCTGTCCCAGATGTCGCTGCTGGTTTGGGCGACAATGACGAAGTTGTGTCTGCCTGTGGAAGACCGGCACATTCGAGTGGGCTACTCCCTCAGCTTTTTCAAGGAGGAAGCTGCACAGATGCTGCTTCTGATGCGGTGTCGGAGCGAAACACGCTGCAGTCTCTCCTGTGTCCCTTCGCTTGCTGCTCTTGAAAGAGACCCGACAACGAAGCCGTGTTTCCTAAACTGCAGACCCTAAACCCTAGACTCTGAACCCTAGAAGAAGGCCAGCCCTCCTCAGTAGTTTTCCTACCGCAAAACAGCCGACATCTGTCCGCAGCAGCCCCAAGACCTAGTTAGTGTCGATACCGAGTTAGCCAGTGCAGCAGAACCACAGGATCGACGAGGCCGTGCTGGATGCTCTGGAAAGCATCGATGACCGCGAGTCTCTGGCAATCGGCCCTTCTCCACCTGCTGGTACGTGAAAGCGGGCCCAAGGAAAGACGTCTCCGCGAAGCTCCAGGCTATTCAGGGGTGGGACTTTACGTTCTACGAGCCTGGTCTACTCGCCGATCATCTATATGATCTCGACTCCAGTGTTGGCCTCTCTCCTCGAGTCCTTATGGCTCCCTTGGGCACCTCCTCAATCTGGTCCAGCTAGCTGAGTGCGGACAGACTCGCAAGTGCGACGCGCAAGAGCCTTGTTGAAGTCGCATGACAAAGGCGACTGCATGATTCCACCCAAGGAGGAAGTCAACCAGTCTCTCACCTTGTGAAACCGGGAGCCTTTCCTTGCTTCTAAGAACCTACTCCGCTGCCTGTGAACTACTGGGTGACTTGCAAGTTGCCATAAACTCTCTGGCCCTCTCAGGCTAAGAGCACGGAGCACTGCCGCTTGCACAGAACCGCGGCCAGCACTGATTTGATAGTGTGCCGGCAGCCTGTGTGCCACGCCACCTGGAAAAATTGCTTTTCGAGCACTGCGATTCAAGCACTCGCGCTTCAAACACATGCGATTCAAGCACCAGCAGAGCAAGCACACCACCGGTCGAGGAACAAGTGCCAAGCCAGATTCAAGCACGCTGGATTCGAGCATACGAGTTCAAGCACTTGTGATGCATGCACCGGCATTTCAAATCCATTCCCGATTCGAGGGCCCCCGATTCAAACACGAAACCAGATTTCAGGCACGTGCCACTCGAGCACGAGGAGGTGACCACCGATCAAACTACCAAGCCAGGTTCAAGCACAAACGATTAAGCACACGTAATTCAACGAACCGATTCAAGCACTCGATGCGTCAAAGTCAGGGTCTTAGGGTTTGAGGGTTGCAGGCGCAGGGATTTACCAGGCAAGGAGAACTCGAGTGTTCAGGGTTGGAGGAGTTTTCCAGTGGTGTTTTCGAGTGTTATTATGGTTTAATATAGGTTTTGGCGGTAAGGCCTTGCGAGATTTAGGGTTTAGGGTTGCTCGAATATTTTTTCTACTGCATCTCAACTTGAAGCTGCTGGTTTCCACCCATGGGGTGTTATTGGGCAGTTTATGAGGGTGCAGTGAGACCAAGTCTGCGATGCTTGGCTGTTCAGTTGAAAAGGTTCACACGATGTCAGAGTCATAGGCCTCGGCTATAGTATAGGGCCCTTTTTAATGCAAGACATGCTTTAGTCCATTTTAGTCCTAAGTCCTCAGCCTAAGCTATCCCGGAACCTGCAGTCATTGAGCCATCCGTTGAGCATGTTTTGCAGGCCAGCTTGGAGCGTGGTCAACGATATCTGTCCGTTTCCCAGATGTGGATCCGGGACAGGGTAAGCAATGTTTTAGTCTGCAAGGAGTATGCTACCTAGTACTTCATTCCTGATCAGGCTGGTAGCTTTCTCCTTCGGTTCGGGGCCTGTCGCACATGGCGGCGAGGCCCAGAGCTTTCAACCTGTTTCGCCGGAGCTTGAGCATAGGGGGCCTGCTTCAACAGGCACGTGCAGCTCCTTTCAAGATGAGAATTTTCTCCTCGCAACCACTACGCTTGGCTCTTATTACTTATGCGGACGGAAGACACTGAAAGGCGATTGGCCCTGTGCAGCACTTGAAGGGGTTGAGCCTTTATTGCCGAGCTTTCTGCAGCCTAGCAGTGCGAATCCATGACATGCGGAACCGAAGGACTCCACGTGTCTTCCCAAGGCGATGAGATGTCACGGTGCTGGGCAGCAGCACAGAACAAGACCAAGGTAACAGCAAGAGCAAGGACAGGGACAACAAGTGAATAGCAAGCGCACTGAACTCAAAGCAAACGAAAGCCAAGTTGACGCCAGTGGACAACTGCACGATAATCCCAAGAGCAGTCCATCAGAGAAGGCTGTGCCAAGCAGCTCGCTGGGCTCGCAGAACGACTCGTGCTGGCCGTTTCTGGCAAAAGGGTTGGGACATGGACGCCGGGGGGGAAGTATCAACAACATTTTCAATTAATCAGATGTGTACAGATCCATACAGACGTGAGGATCCACGGCCTTCTTGTTTTTGCCTAGGTGTGCGAACACTCGAGCCTGAGCACTGTCCACAGCTGGCTGCAGCCGCGCTGTCAACCCCTAAGCTGCATGTCTCGCGGATGTCACCTGACCGGCAAAAAGCAACTTCTGTATCCTGTTAAGGACTGGGTTGCATGCCGCGCAAGAAGCTGAGAGCACCCTTGACTGCTCAGTTTGGTCATGGAGCCTTTTGCTGAAACATATCGAAACGAGGTGCCTAAGCCTCACGGCAGTGCCTGGACGACGCTTCCGAAGGCCTTGAGTTGGAAACAGCTGATGAGCCAGGAGCTCCCATGCAAAAACCAGGCTGGTGAGACCCCTCGCCACTGGTCTGTGTCTGTTTCAGGCCTGAGCATGGTTCAATTTCCAGCTTGTGCAGCATCTTGCTGCGCACAGACCGCGCATTCCATCGTTTCATCGAGGTGACAGGTGAGGGAGCCGTGCTGCTGTCGGAACCTTATGACGCGCTTGCCTGACCTGTCGACGGGCATGACAACCCATCGTGATGCTCAGGCTGCTCGCCAATGCCACAGGCTCTGACATGACCGTCAAGATCACATCAGAGGCCTGATAGTGGAACTTCAAATCAAGGAATCTGCGTTCAGCAACATCCGTGTTAATTCGATGTGAAAAATCAAGGTGAAGGTGATGACAGCACGTTGTGGGGAAGGCTGATTTCAGATGCCAGCTTTTCGCGTGCCGCCCCCGCACTGCTGGTTGCACGGCAGGCTTGCTGGCAGCTGCGCCCGGTTCGGAACAAGACAAAAGCTCAGCAGAGGCACGTCCGAAACCGTTGACCCGAGAGCGAGCATGCACCGCGTAGATCGGGTGAGGTCACCTGCTTCAACTGTGGCAAGCCGGGCCACATCGCTCGTGATTGCACCGCTCCCAGGCAGGTCCTTGGCCAACAAAACATGGCCCCCTTTCCCTCATAAACGATGGTTTTGCGAAGCTTGCCGAGACTTGCGAGCATGCTGCAGGCAGCGTGGTATCAGACCTCAGTGGCGATACCCTGCAAAGTGGCGACGGGAAGCGACCTCAGCACTCGACAGAATTCTTGTTGCGCAAAGGCCGCAAAGGCTCCTCTTTTCCCGATCTGGGGTTGGGTTGTCGTGCAGTGCTGTTCAGCACGCCTGCCATTGCGATGTCCACTAACAGGGAAACGGAGGAAGGGCAAGGTAACAGAAGCGATGGAAACGAAGATGCGGCCGGAGGAAGAACGGGGCGGACAAGCGAAGGTTGATGGGGCGGACACGGACAAGGGACGATAGCCGCTGAAGGTGCAAGCGCGACAATGGGGCGTGTTCGATGGATGGACACTGGCAGGCAGGAACAAGGGGCCGGTTGATGGGCGGCTGTGGTCGGCGTGGACAACGGGCGTCGAAAGCCCTGCGATCTTCCAACTTCATGGTTTCATCACTTTCTGGGTTGTTCCGGGCCTGTCCTTGCTTGCAAGGTGATGACGGTCTGTCGGCTTCCATCCGATAGCCAGCGCATAGCTATGGTGCTCGTCCCAGATGACAAATGCCCACTAGCTAAATTCGTAAGAGTTCGTCGCCATGCCTCAGGCGCTCATTGGCAATGGAATGCAGGCTGAGATGGGTGGTGTCGAGGTGCCTGCCTTGGTTCGACCCACACACTGCAGATGTCCATGCAAGGGTTTTATCATGGCCCAGGGCGTCGGGTTCTCGCCTTTGATCTGAGGCTCGAGCCTTGAACCCGACATTTAGCTCAGAATGCAGTGGCTGCTCCATGTGCTCCTCGCTTCATTTGTGTGGCAGAGCGTGGCCATAAGCCTGCGGAGCAACTCCTCTGGAACCCGCACTACAGCAGCCGCCGGCTTGCGGAAGCCTGGCTGTGGCTGCGACGCCAACAGCCCTTCCTGGCATAAAACATCGAGAACTCAGCCGAAGTGCGTTTTTATTGATTTGGGAGCAGCGGATGGAAATACGTTTGACAACTTTCTTGCTGACGGTTATGGCCCCGTGAGCAACTGTCCGCATGGCGGTGACTGGGAAGCTATTTTGGTGGAGGCGAACCCCGTATTCAGCAAGAAATTGAAGTCGCTGGAAGCCAATCTCGGAGGCAAAGTGCGCTCGCTTGCTTCTACCGCTGCGTACAGTTGTGAAACGACCACGACGTTCTCCATTGATGCCGATCCTACTCACAACTTCTGGGCGTCGAGTTTGGATGAGAAGGTGGGCCAACAAGAAGTCACGGTTCCAACCATCAATGTGAACAAGCTCATTGCTGAGAATGTACGACCTGATGACTGGGTCATACTCAAGGTGGACATCGAGGTGTGGCCGCTGAATTCGCAAGCGTTGGTTGCCGTCGTAGCTATCCTAGGGACTTCAGTGCGACCAAGAACCGACGATATTGAGAGCAAACGTGGTTTTGGAAGGTCACGGGCGGTCAAGATGCTGTCATGTCGAGACGGGTGGAGTCCTTTGTTGAATGAAACGGTTACCCATGGTTTAACGGGGGAGGGGCGAACGCCATCAGGTACAAACTAAAAGAAACGAGTCTCTCCCACAATAAGGCCAGGGGGGAATTTGAGGGAAGACTCGTCGCACAATTCCGCATCTCAGCCAGGGCGCCGAATACGAAGTTATGCCTTGCCTGGCAGAGTTCAAGGATGCCGAGCTTATCGATGAAATCTTCTTGGAAGAACACTGGTGGTTTCCAGATCGCACCCGCGAGCAGACCCTTTCAGCAATTTCAGTGGTTTAGGTGCCCTGTCCTGCGCATCTGCCCTATCGATTCTGATGGCTACTGACATGACCAGACCGGAAGTTGATTTTTGTTTTTCATTCATACTTCGATGAGGAATGCAACGATGGTTCTTGCCAAAGACAAACTGAAGTCACGGTTCCGCGGCAGTCTTTCAGAAGCTGTTTCACGATAGGGCTGCTGTCTAGTCTTGACGTCGGGAACGGAGTGCGCATCCTTGGCAGGAAAATACGCATCCCTGCGCCGCCTGGCTACAATTTGTGCTCTAGTGATTGCTGGTACTCCAAGCTCAATTCTCGTTTGCTGCCACATGGCGCCAGCTTTGACACACAGACACGCGCACACACATCGACAGTCTGACGCAGCGTCTTTCCAAGTGCTGGACCAGCTGTTGAAGTGACCATTATTATTGCGTTTCCCTCGCCCAGGTACTTCAGCAACTCCTAGGGAACCTGGTGGCAGCGCCCATTTCACGACCGCTTGCTACAACTGCGGATAGCAAGATGAGCTTGTACAAAGATGCATCACCGTGCAAGTGAAATGAAGTATCCAGGCCCAGCTGAGGCAGGGCCTTCTTCATCGTAGGCAGCAGCGCAGCGCCTGAGAAACAGTCGGCCTTTGAGAGTCTACTCTGCTTTGCGGGCTTGGGAACACCCATCCGGAGTAGGAGCAAGGATTGCCGACTTCAGGTGCAGGTCGCTGCAGGCAGTGAAGAGTGTCCGCGCCCGAGTACGTGATCTCCGTTCCTGAAATCAGACCTGCCCCGGCGCTGGAAGGGGCAGCGGCCAGCTCAAGGCAAGGTCCCAACCAGGGCTTTGCCGCGCGACTATGGTCCGGTCATGTCCGGTCCAGGCAACAGCAGCTTCAAAGCTACATGCTGTCGCCGTCTGCCCGGGGCTTACAACAGCGGACATGCCGGCGGAACCGTCCAACTTCGAGCCCTGCAAAGGGGCAGCTTCGAACCAAGCCTTTCCTCGATTCGCCTTCGTTAAGGCACCAGCTGTGCAACCGTTGGACGCCTTCGAGCCGCGAAAGCTGATGAAAGGCACGCGAAAGACATTTCGACCGCCTTGCTCTGTGGTGGTGCTACATACACATTTTTGCAGACAAGCTGCTTCGATGAAGGCCTTGTCGAAGAAGCAATGGCAGTGCAAGCGGCCGTCGGTAAGAAGACGATCGGGGCTGCAGTAGCAGAGGTGCTGGACTGGGTCTCAGAGGAGAGGCTCGAGTGTTTCTGAACCGCATTTGCAGCCATACCTGCACCACAACAGGAGTCTCTTGCACAAGCCGCTGCTGCAAGTCTCGAGCAGCCTTTCACCGAGCGAGCTTCGCGACGAGTGCATGCCTACTACCATTGCGCTGGATGCCGCCAAGGATGCGTGTTCAAGAGGAGCAGCAGCTTCAGCAGGCTCAGCCCTCATCCCCTGCTAGTGCTCATGGCTTTCCTGGGAAGCTTGGCAAGGCCTTGGAAGCTTCGAGAGGCCTCGCTAAAGCTCCGCGGAGTTTGAAAAGCAGATAAGAGCGTTGGTCGCTGCCTTCTGGCAGGTGCATCGGCGATCGACTTGCGACCGGATTCCGAAGACAGGCCGGGCCCCTGAACCGTCCTAAACCCTTCAAGAGGAGTTGCGTGTCGCCTACAACCGCTGAGCTTCCAGGTTGCTGGCAGCAGCTGTGGCTGCGTCGAGTGAGGAACAGGTGCATCCATGAAATATGGCCGGTCCATTGAAGTCAAAAAGGGTTTTGCTACGAACGCCACGTTGCCTGCTATGCCGTGAAGGCCATTGAAGCCTCTCGAAGAGAGTTCCTGGCAGCTGAGGAAGCTGATTTGCAGGCCCTGATGCTTATGCAGAGCACTCTGATCACTTCCGACTCGTAAAGAGATGTGCAGCATAGATTTCAAGGGTTCGGTGTAGCAAGTGCCATGACATGTAGCGCTGCAAGTTCTTAGGCCTTACGAGACAATTGAAGCGGCACGGGCATGCAGACAGGGCAGACTTAGACAAAGCTCGAAAAGCATGATCAAGCAGTCACGTCAGTTCGTTCATTCGAGCAGCCGTGAGAGAAAAGACAGCTGAGATTTGTTTCGGCCGCGACTGCACTCATGAAGTCAGGCGGCCTTGCTCCTCTCTCGTGGGTCCCTTGCTGCGCCGCAGTTTGTCGTGGACTCTTCCGAGGAGGCGCGCTAATCTTGGGCACGTCGCGGCATTTAGGCGAAGCTGTTTAATCCAGTGGAGCCCAGCCGGAAGGAAGCCATCGACATTCCTTCACTTCGCGAGTCCAAGCGCCACAAGGTGCCACCGTTTGACGACCGGCATGTAAACAAAAGACCAAACGCAACGTATAGCCGTCAATGTCGTGCAGTCAAGAGGATAGTAGGTCAACCGACATGCTACATCCTCAGCAGAGCTGTGACCTCGAACGCGGGCAAGCCTGCCCTGCTCGTATCGGATGCGAAATCCTTCATATTGCAGAGCTACACAGCAAGAACCTGGCAGCATCCGGTGTTCAGTTTGAAAGCGAAAGCTGTTCAGACTGTTTCGGGAGTTGCATGTGTCACCACGTCTGCGAGCCATTCCGCTCTGCAGGCCGCCGCCTGACGTTGAGCAATTTTCTGCCAAGTCTCACCATGCAGGGTTGGCACAGTTGAGAGTGATGCAAGCAACGTTCAAGCAGCTTTCTCACGGCAACTCGCTCCGATTCTCTTCCTGCCCGCAGCCCATGTGCCTCGTGGCCTCTATGCTCAAAAGCGGATATCCACATGAGGAACCGTAAACATATGTTGAGGCATCCGGACATGTCCTGGAGTCATCTCTTTAAAGTAGTCCGGAGCTCCTATGGTGAGAAAAAGAGAATAAAGGAAATTGTGATCATTCTCAGAGCCTTTCTAATCTCCTTTCTGCGCCCCAGCGCGCCGCCCGTTGGAGCACCATGGTGCCTATGATTGGCACCGGGCTGATCTGCACAAGTGGAAGGTCAACAAAAAGCGTTGGGAGGAGCGTGCGCAAGACTGTGCCTCGAGGCTTGGCCTATTGGCCCCTGCTGCTTTGGCTTCCTCTTCTTTCTGTGCAGTATGCAGCAGCTGGGGGCTCTCAATTGACCAGGGTACGTGCAACCGGAAATAAAGTCTTTTTGACCTTAGGTTGCCTTTCTTGGCAGCGGCATGCAGGCAAGCCGTGCCAGAAGCAGGATTCCTTTCAACTGCTTAGGCTTAGTCTTTTCATTTCATGCCTGGCCTGCCTCAGTCTGCCGTCCACTCCATTACAACTCTGTTCGTTGACACACCTGTTTGTGGCCAGAGCCTCAGCGCACCATAGCGCACCTCCTTTGATCGTTGCCGGATGAGTGGCGGACGTGCGATGCTGAGGTCTTCTGAAGATCGTCTGGTGTGTGATGCTTGTGTTGTGTCTGTTTCTCAGTCCCTTTTTGCCAAGACACATCAGTAGAGGATGCGCCAGTCGTGGAGGAAGTGCACCTGAGGTTTAGACTGTCTCAGGAACGTCTTCAAGTCTGCAGGTCGCAAAACGTTGTGTGCCATTGGTCCGAACAGATCGAGCAACAGATTTGTTGTCTTTCGACCGTGGCATTCTTCAGGAGCCTCATCTGACCCAAGCATGGCAAACGCCCAGATGTTCGAGGCTTTCGCTGCCAAGGACGGCTTTTTCGAATCAAATGCTACAGCTACAGTTCCAGTTGCCACTGTTGAAACGTGCCGTGCTGCCGTGGCGGTCAGGAAGGTGCTCTGGTCCTCGCGTTGAACTTGGCATCGATGATGGCACGCCCTCGAGCTCCCGAGCCTTTGTCATGTGAGTGGCCAGGGCGTTGCGCGGAACTGCAGGCCATCCAGGCGCTCCATATCACGACTGGGCCTGCGACATAGTACAGTGTCAGTACCGCCTCACGCGTCCCGGATGTCACCGGGGGTGTCCGCCTTCTGACCATGCGAATTGGGTCACCATTGAGGATTTTATTTGATTTCAGTGCTCAGTTTCATACTGGGTCGGCTTTCTGTTTATGTTTCGCACATGCTTCCTTCACTTCATCACCGCAGCTTCTGCAAATTTTCCGTGATTCTGGGGGCTGATCCTTCCGTGCTGTCTAACCTCAGTCACTGACGTTGGGAATCTCACAGAATCCTCTGGGGATCCTAAGGCGTTGTGCCAAGCTGGAGCTGGACCGCGATGTCATATCGCGGCAGGCGAGCGGCTAGTGTTCAGCGCACAGAGGACAGGGAGGTCTGGCTGAAGTGGATGTCTCGGGTTTTCGACGTAGGAGATACAATACGCAGAAGCACTTGCTTTTTTTGCCCGGCTTTTGTTCAGGCCAAGCAGGCCGGCGAGCGGCGGCCCAAGCGAAGGGCCAGGGCCAAGTTGCAGAAACTTCCATATGGGATTGTCCTAGGTTTGCGAAGACTCTGATGGCCGAAGGGAAAGAGGTAAAGAAAACGCCCGGCCCTTGGAGAAGGATTCAGTGTGCCACGCGTCTTGCGAGATCCAGGCCCGAAACCAAGATGCCCGAAGAGAGCAAGACCGAGCAAGAGGCATGCCAGAACTTGCATGGCCTGGCAGCGCCGGCCGAGAGAGAAGGGGAGAGATGCTTCACATCTTCGTTGCAGGGAGAGCTGCGGAAGAGGACTGACTGATACTGACCCGCACCAGCAGAACGCTGCAGTCGGTCATCCCCACCAGCATTGCAGTCTGCTGGTGGGTTTGTTCACATGTACAGCCGTGCTCTGCCCTCAACTTCTCAGCTAGTGGCTGAGAAGTTCAGTGCATTGGCCGGAGTAGTTTACTCCTCATCTCGATCGCTTGCACCATTACTCGTCGTTACTAGCCAGTGCGGGCCGTCAATTCATGAGTAGCCCTGGCTGGTCACCAGTCGTTTCGAGATGCGCAACAAAGACGGCGGATGTTTCAACGTAAGCTGGGAAGGTTTGGACAAGATCCGGCCCTTGAAGCTTTCTCGGTGTCTGCCTTGGGCTCTGTTTCCGTAGCGCGGCCCCCGCGCGATATCCAACGAAGCTTGCAGAGGTGCGACATCATGTTCGCAAACATAGCATGTAAAGTACTGCGAAGTAACCCCATGGCCCTTACAGGGCGTAGAGGTAGAGCGCTACTTTGAACTGCATGTCAATTTAGCGAAGCCGAGACGGCGCTTGTGAGGCGATCTTCTGCACGCCTCCATGCGCTGGTGCTGAGGCTGGTTGACCCGAGAATCCTGTTATCGCACGGCAGTCTAGCAGACTCTCGCAGCGAAGACCTATTGCAGTGTGGGCCTGGGCTTAGACGCACTTCCGTGAGGCAGGGCCAGCAATTGAAGCATGGCCTTGGGACCCCTTGTTGCTTCGATAAGTTCCGTGCTGAGCCAACCTTGCTGTCATCTTGTTTGCTAGATATAGTGATATAGCACGCAAGTCAATGTCGCAACTTTCTAGGTGGCTTGGCTGCGGTGGCACTGCTCATCTCGCGCGAAATTGGCGGATATGACAGGTGCAGCCTTCATGTGCCAATCCAGAACCATTCAGCCAATGTTGGTAGCATTGGTACATTGCTGTCCGTGCATGAAGGCCGGATCGTTTCGTCATAGCCGCTCGGCAACAGATCAGCACGATGTGTCTGGTACGGCCATTTCCGATCGGGAAACGGCGGTCTCAAGCTACGAAGCAACAGGATGCCATGCTTTGTTGCTAGGTTCAGATTGGGTCTGTCAGCAGCAGTTGTGGTCAGGTCACCTCTCCCAGCACTCGGAATGTGTTGTGGGCCCCACTGCCGTCCTTGCATGACCTCACCTTGCCTGTGAAGGCAGGGCAGAGCAGACTCTGAAGTTTCGTGACGATTTGGCCTGAGCTGCGAGAGGACCGATGGATCCCAGATGCACAGATTCTCATCGACGGAAAAGCCAGTAAGTTTCCGGCTTATGTCTTTCCGTTTGCCTTGTTGGTCCTTGAAGCTATCCTTCCGCTGTTGCCTGAAGCGGAGCGCCCACAGCGGAGCTTTGTGAAACACAGGTGCTGGGGGTGGACGTGCTCCGAGCATTCAGATCGTGGTCTGGAAGAACCAACGGGGCTGGCGTCGGGGGCTACGGCGGCAGAACAGAGGCCTGAGTATTGAGGCAGGGATGTCAGAGTGACCCAGGCTCTACCAGAGAGGTGGGGGAACTGCTTGGCTCTACATCTCGGACCCGAAAGCTTCTTGATTGCAATGGCAGTGCTGTCACAGCCGTTTCGTCTTCTCATCACCTGGGCGTTTCGAGGTCGGCTTTCTCTACCGCTATGAGGTCACGGCTTCAGTTTCCATACATAGACCTCGCAGATCGCAGACCTCGGTCGGTGTGGACTTCGAGGCAAGTAAGTAGGTTTCACAGCTGCTCGGCTGTGCGTGGTCATACAGTCGAGCTAAGAAGTTGCTTGTACGGAACTGGTTTAGAGGTACCGTCTCCAGATCTCTAATGTTCCTTCCATGGCATTTCTGGCTCGAGAAACAGCGGCAAGAGCACGAGGAACCGAAGCGTTAGCGTTGCTGCACCCATCTTCGAAGGCAGGGCTTGAGTCGGTAACTCGGTAGACTTCTCACTTCTCACCCTGCTCTCTCGCCCGTCTTCCAGTATCACTCTTTTAAGCTTTGTTTACCTCTCTCTCTCTCTCTCTCTCNNTCCCTCTCCCTCCCCCTCTCCCTCCCTTCTCGTTGAGACCAGGGTTCGCTTGGCTTGAACGGTATGTGTGGCGGCTGCACTCTTCTTGTGGGCCGGCTGTTGTGCTGATCTCCTTAGCTTCCTGAAGTGTTCTGACCCAATTCCTGAAGCTGAGACGGAAACTTTGAGGCTCTGAATTCTTGACCCCCAGAGCATGGCTGAACACCAACTGGCTTCAAAGTCCCTCCCTTTCCAAAGTCGTCGGCCTGTTATATACCTGCGCTCCATAGCAGGCATGACGAGTGTGCTCCCAGCTGCGGATCAGTTGCCAACGCTCTTGTCCCCCAAGTCGGCAAACAGGGAAGCATCTTGTCTAAGCGATTCTGCATGCAGTCCTTTCAAGCTGTTCCTGTCGTTTCTGCTTCCTGACTCCCACCCTGCTTCCAAAAACTCAGGTGCGGAAGCCTGACCTGAAGAAGATCACTGACGCACCCACTGTGCAGTGGGAAGACTTCTTGCCAGACCTGGACAACAAACTGGGTTCAGGTGCATACGGTGAAGTGTACCTGCGGCGAAAAGAGCGGCGCAAGTTCGGAACAGACTACCTGTGTGCGGTTCTTTTGTGTGAGTGGTCAAGACCGGTGTTTTGCAAGCTCGTAGGCAAAGTAGCCACGATGTTGCATCTGCCACTTCCGCCTCTGTCTTACTGCTTTGTCGGACGAGAAGGTTTTGAGAAGACTCGACACTACTTGTGGTGTTCCCCTCGCATGGGCCATGGGAATTCCATTCGGCATGTGAATGCTGAGGTATCCCGTACGGGATAGTCCACACCTGGTGATGAAGATTTTCCAGCGGGCAGACTGGAGCGAGATTCAGGCAGAGACATACTTCGCACGAGTCATGCGACTTAGTACCGATCTAGACCAGTTGGAACGACCTCTAACAAACAAGCGGCGAATTGTGCTAGCCTGCACGACTGCTAAAGCGAGGAAATCCCGGTTTCCGAGCTACTTCGTGGATTGCCTGGGTGTGGGCAGCGTTCCCGGCAAAGATGGCTCGATGTTTGCGGTCTTTGAGCGCGCTTTTGGCAAAACACTTGATTCAGCCGCTCACCGTTTCCGCCAAGCAGACGGCATTCGGCACGTTTCGGAGGCCTTGGCCACGCTCGAGGAATTACTTAGTGCGAAGATGCATATGATGCATCCAGACGAGTCAGGCAACCTGCACATTCATGTTGACACCCGTCGGAATTAATGGCTTGGTACACTTTTCGGAACGGTGTTTGAGTCCGCCTTTGTCGTCAATGTGCTGGAATGGCATAGTAAAGTAAAGTAGCGAACGTAGTAGCTTGTGGGGAGGATCTGAAGCCGGACAACATCATGTACTCCACGGAGTCGGGAGCTGCCAAACTGACCCTCATCGACTACGGTCTAATACGAAGCTGTCCTCAGGGTGACGCAGAAGCTGAGTCGTCAGCTCTGCAATTGCTCCGATGGTTCGGATGGCAGTTCTTGTGGATGCTGGCCTCAGAGGCTTTTAGCATTGACAATCCGGACAAGAACCCCTGGCAGCAGCTTCCGGATGGTTTCAAGCCATTCTTCCAGCCGTCGGATCTCAGACCATCAGCTTACAGGTTTGGGCAAACCCCCATGGAAACATGCAATCATCCTGAGGTGTTACAGTAACTCACACAGAGAGCAAGCACGCTTTCAGGAGCCAAAACCTGACGCCAGAGCTGCTGTCAGATGCTCTGCGTGACGGCTTTTTCGACGAGGCCCGCAGCTTGGTGTTTCACTCTTCCACCACTACATGTCGCTTTCCTGCTCGCCAGGTGATGTCAGCGCCTTTCCGGAAGCAGTGGACATCTGCCAAGAAGGCCAAAGCCCAGATGGGTAAGATGTTGGGCAGCTTGCCAGCAGAACGCAGTCTTCGTAGTGCTCCCGAGAAGACAGGGCAGAGCATTTCGATGTTGTGTCAAACCAAAACCCGAAACGCCAGACGCAAGGGAGGGGATTCGGACACACAACAAGGCCAAGTCTGAATGGCTGGAACATGTCCTATGGAAGGCTTCCGTCCGCCGTTTTTCCCATGACTTGTGAATTGCTCTTTGACCGCAATCCACCGAACGAAATGGCATTTCCTCGTTTCCGAAGGCTTGTCCTGTATATTAAGGAGGACTTGTGGGTGTGTGTACAGGTTGCAGTGGGGCATTTATGGTTTACCTTGTGACCTTGAAATACCGAACACCGCCCCACCTTCGCGGGTTTAACCCCTGAAGCGTTTTGCGGTTGAGGCCTTGCCCGACATCACTTCTTTTGAGGTTTGGGCCTTCCTGTCTCCATCACTCACTGGAATTTCTCAGCTTTCGAACCATCGCTCGTCTGCTGAGCTTGCCCGTTTCACGTTTGGAGCTCTCCGGTGTCCAACATGCCTAACCCCTGCAGCCTCCCGACATGCGCTTCTGGGCTGCTGCTTCTTTTTTTGTCCTTCACCGTTTGCATCTTGCTATCTGCTGCGTCTGGCCCTTCTCACCTGTCTCCCGATTCATCCAACACTGGGTGTGGCCCTCGAGTATCTGCAGGCCAAATCAGTCATCATCATGGCTTGAGGTGTAAACCATGCCCGGGCCAGCAGTTTAAGCGCTCCCTCGTCAATCTGCAATAATCTGCATTGTCATGCATGCTGCAGATCAGCCCATGCAGAGTAAAACTCAACTTCTGTCAGGGTCTGCTTGTGCAGTGTTTTCTGAGCGAGGGCAGCGAGGGCGTTGGGTCAAGCAATCTCTCTGTCCCCGGGAACCCGAGGCGATCTCTTCTATGCCGTTGCTTGGGCGAGTGATTGCAAAGGCCCTATCCCCGACTTCACGCGTCTCAAGCGTGACATCGCGGGACTGCGCGCGCTTCCAGACTGCATCCAGACCGATCTTGTGAGCTTGCATTGTGTGGAACGTGCGTTCTGCAAGATGCCAGGCTCGTGGCCTGCTGATGCTGGAGGCATGCTAGTCTTCGAAAACTTAATTAGATGGCTGACCAAGTCAGCTCGGTTTATGCAAGTACAATACCTTCCAGGCAGCTTAAGACTCTGCAGGGTGAAATAATTTGTGCGACACGGCGCAGACCTTTGCCCCATCAAGTGGGCGTGTGCACTGACAAGAACTAAGACCACTTGTACAGCGGCACAGCAGAGTGCCATCCTGAAAATGAAGTCGTGGCGTGATATTCGTCTGGTCTTGCTCCAATGTCTTTTGATCCAGTGACTCATGAGGTCTCTTCGACCTGGCGTGGCCTGCAAGCCGACTCCCAGCAGCTGGTGGCCAGTGATCTGAAGGCCATGTGCGATTTGTGCAGCATGTCGCTGCTTTGGAGCCCACCTGCCCACCTGTCAGGACAGTGCACACTGGCTGGCAGTTGACAGCTATGGGAACTTGTTCTACACAGATGCCAAGGCGTGCACTTGCAGTAGATTCGTTGTAGTGGCGCGTCGCAGAGCCAAGATGGCATGGCTCCTTATGTCTATTTTATTTGTCGGAAAGGCTGGAGTCATCTCAATGATCAGCTCCGAGGCGCCCCAGTGTGAATGCTTGCAGATTGTGTCCTAATGCGTGAACTATGTCGGAATTCCATTGTGCGCCGCAAGCTTGAACACGTTCTGTGAAAGACCGTGGGGGCAGTCTGCGTTTTGGCCAGGACATGTCCAAGGGCATTCCGAAGGGAAGGCCATGGCCAGAGATCGAAATCTTCCCTCATGTTCCCCGTCAGCTGTGGCTCTTCGTTGTGAGCTCTGTCAAGGACGCTTGCGAGCTCTGAGAAGCTGAAGCATGTTGCCGGCCCGGCTGGCATCGCAGTGGATGCCATGGATGTGTACTGGGCCAATCTGAAGGCCAAGGGGTTTCTGCAGCGATGTCTGGGGGCTGCGGAGAACGAGCAGTGCAGTGCAAGAGATGTGCAGAAGCCTTTGAAACCATGTCTGTTGCATATCTGCGAAGGGGGACCAAAAGAAAGGCACTTTGCTCAAGGCAAGTGCTGCACACACCCAGTGATCGCAGCTTGCAGTGCATCGCTCGGCCCACCGCCTTGCGCAAGGCTGGGCAAGTGGCCTCCGGCAAAGCGAAATCTGCCACGATCTTGTCCGGGACGAGCGATATGTACCAGGCAGACTCGTCAAGACTGTTGAGTCCGTTTAAGCATCCCCAGTCCAGGCGATGGTAAAGGACGTTTGCCTGGCGGGCAGCAATGTCGACGACTTGGGTTTTTGTCTGATCGTATTGCTGGTACAATGCTTACAGGTCTCTCTTCACATGAGAGATCTTATGATGTTGCTCTCACATATTCAGTGTTGGACTCATGCTGCACCTGCTCGCACTACTTGTCCATGCCGTGGGCATGTGCCAGGTGTTCTTCACCGGTGATGGGGAATCGCTGTTCGCAGTCAAGGCACAACGTCAGCAGATTTTCTTGCACGGCTACAGTGGATAAAGCCACCATGGCGACAAGGGGGCGGGAGTGTCTCAGAGTCATTGCACTGTTGCACGGCTGCCGAGAAGCATTCCGGCTTTGGGCAGGCAGACGGTTCCGGCAACGTGACGGAAGTGGCGCGATTGCAGCAGCCACGGGGCTGTGCCTATGACAAGGTGACGGTCTCCGTGCCTCAAACATTGATGGACATAGCTACTTGTTCCATATATTTCCGCCGTCAGGAAAACACGCTCTTCGTTGCTGACAGCGGGAGCAACGCTGTGGTTTCGCTTCCCGCCAACATGGTGAACCCTCGTGCCGTGAACAAGCTGCAAGTTCGTGCGACGCTGTAGGCTTTAGATTCTGAGTATGCTTGCGACCTTACTCGTGGTTCTCGCGGCCGTGTTTTCCCGAGGTGAGAAATGTCACGAAGGCCTGGGTTTGAGCTCCTGCTCCTTGCGGGTGCTCGACGTACAGTTGAAAGGGTCAAAGCCCTTCGTCCTGTCGTGCATCCCCTGCACTACTACTAGTTACTAGTCTTGCCAGACACTGTAAGTCCTGTAAGTTTCAAGAACCCCAAACTGTCAAGCCTAAGGAAGACCTAAACAACCACAAGCCCTGCTTAAACCTCACCACCCCACCGAGGCCACGACAACCCCAAATTCGGATGCACAGTGGACGTGGACCCCAAAACCTGCAAACCCTCCCTAAACCTAAGCAACCGCAAAGTCGGATGCTCACTGGACGTGTGCACTGTCGTTTCATGGAGGCTGCCATCAGCAGGTGTAAGGCATTCGAATGCATTCGATGTATACTGTCTACCTTGCATTCTAATTTAAGTGCTAAGCCACGGGACGAATTCGGAACTGTCACGACGTCTTTGTGTTGCCCGACTGGAGGTGGCTTCGATTCAGGGCCCTCACCAAATCGGCGTGTTCTTTGGCCACGGCCTCGTGGATGAAGCTGTAATGATCCAACCGAAAGCTTTCTGATCCGGAGTGCTGTGTTCTTGCAGAGGTCCATCTTCAAACAAATTCTTGCAGCATCTGCAGACAGGCTGATGGATGGAGGCAGGACACCTAAATGGGGTTCAAGCTGAGAAGCAACCTGCAGCTGATAGTCTGCCAAGCCTCACCTCATCCTTCCGGTGGCCCTGCTGCAGGAAGCGTTGTGAAAGCTTTGGCAAGAGTTTGCATCCTGGCGCGATTGTTCTTGTGAAGGCGCTGTTTCAGCACTGTCTCACTGATCTGGCTTTGAGCCGATTCTGCGAAGAAGCATAGGCGTCACGCTCACATTCTGCAACAGCACGCCCTCGATGATTTGACCTGATTTGACTTGCTCACACCTGGTGGTCAGCTCACCAGTGACTAGCTGCTTGCTGCGTGTGGTGTGGCTCACCAGTAGTACGCTACAGCATCGCTTGACAGTCTTGCTGACATGCACAGCTGAGATCCAGGATGCAATGTGGACTCAACAGATTCATGCCGTGTTCGCCAGTGCAGTCGTAGCCGTGCCGATTCTGGACTCGAAAGCGTAATAAGGCCTGTGTAAATGAGCTGTTTCACCATCAGCTGCAGTGCAGTGGGTCCATGGGTGCTACGCCCAGAGCTCAGATGAAAGGCGGCCTCTATGATGCTGAGTCTTGCTAAGTGTTGAGAAAGCAGAGAGATACCATTCGGGCCAGACGCAGCATGAGTATTGGTAAGATGCCCCAACATAAGACGCCTCGCAGCCTTCTGTCATACAAGGTCCAAAGGCTGTGACCCATGTCGGGGAGACCGACTGATTCACGACCTGTCCACGTGCCCGGGCAGGGAAGGGCCGGAGTTGAGTCGCCAGGATATTTTTGCAGGGTAGCTGTCAAGCGCCCCATGAAGCATGAAGGTGATGCCATGCTGGAGCAAAGCTTAATCTAAGACGTAGCAAGAGCCAGTCTCCACGCTGATGTGGTAACCCCGATTACACCTTGAGTCATACTTTGATGAGCTTTTCTTGGCATCGTGCCCGGTCTCTCCCGCCTCCTTTGTTGAACCACGCCTGCACGCTAGAAGGGGCATCGAGACGTCAGGGACTTTAAGCGGGATATGGGCTGATCAGACAGTTGTGGAACCTGCTAGTTTCTTGGTTGCCTTGAGGAAATAAATGCTGCCGCTGTCGCTGAGAGGAGCTGGAACTGGTGAAGGGATGTGGCCATGGATGATGAATCATGAAGGTTCTCAAGCATGAGCTCCCGGTCAGTAAAAGCATCTGTGGGCTCTAAACTCTAAACGTGGTGGAGCTCCGAGTCTGTGGGCTGTGTGCTGGGATGTCAAGGTGCAGCACACAGGTCCGAGATCCGGATCTAGCTGAAGGCTCGAGGGAGTTGCGAACGGGTCACGGCACTGTAGAACAGGAGTGGAGAAGCAAATCTGCGAAATGAAGCGTCATTCGCCAATGGGCTCTTAGAAACTCTCGTGAAATCTGCCCGAGGTAGTCTTTCACAACTGGTAAGTGTGGACGACGAGCGGGGCGGCTTGGAAGGTGGAGGTGGGCAGTAAGGAAGAATCGTTTGATGCCAGCACGCATGTTGGAAAGATGGGCAGGCAGCATCGTCTCCGTGTGCTCCAGCACCGTGAGGTGTGCATGGTTTACCTGATCCGTACATGAGACAGCGCCGGTTGGCAGGCAGCCACTTGTGCTTCTGCAGCTTAGACGCTTGGTCGCCGACCTAATCGCGAGATTGAGCCGCAAGACGACGGTATGTAAATGTAGATACCAATGTCGAAGAATTTCGAGCCAGCTTTTTTGACCTGAACTTTTGGTGCAGGGGTCGGGGCAGGCACCCAAAGGTGGACACCTGTCGCAGGACGGCAAGAAAAGAGTCGCGGGCTGAGCTTTGTGTCTTTAAATCCTGCTCCGGTGCAACAGATTTAGCTTGCCGGCAAGGTCCACAAGGAATCGCGGCACTATGCTTGGAGCTTGAGCTCGTACCACGCTACATCACAGCAAGACTGGAGCGGGTTTGATAAGGAACTTCTCGTCGAACCTGGCCGGCAGAGCCTCGATGTCCACGGCTCGAGCACTTTCCTCGAGCCAGGAGGCTGCGCCCATGTTCATGCTGGTGCATGCTGGTGAAGACATGTCCCTGGACCATGCAGGTCCAGGTTACATGCCTTGGCTTCGCAGCTTGCGCCCAAAGAAGGTCACTCTCCTTATTCAGATACCTCCTTCTCAGTTTCGGCTTGTGAAGTGAGCCGGAAGTGTGGTGCCAGGCCTCAGCGCTGAGGACCAGGCAACAAGCTGCTCCACTGCAACTCGCCACTGGGCTGCGCCCAGCATCGTGTCTTCGAAGGATGTGAAGAGCCTCCCAAGATGTGAGGTCAATCTGCTGCCGCGCAGCCCGAACAAACCCAAGCCTTGCAAAGCTCGCCGCACCCGCGCTCCCCGGCTCGCCACTCCGGCACTCTTTGGAGCTTTTTGATTCAGGCCATTCAGGCTTTTTCAAGTTTGCTGTGCAAAAACCCAAACCCGGTTCTGAAGCCAGTGCGGGGCTACAACTTGGCAAGAGTTTCACAAGACTCAAAGTGAGTGGCTTCTCTGGTCCCCGGCGCTATCTTGGTGTGTGAGCTCCATCCTCCGGCCCCACTTTGACAGGTGCAGGAGCACAGCAAGCACGACAAGCAGACTACGCTACGGCTTGATCAAGGACCGGAAGGGAGCTTTCATTGAGAGCAGGGCAAGCATCCAACCTGCAAGGACCCGAGGAGCATGAGGCTCTCACACCCTGCCCAGCATTCTTGTGTAGGCCACGCCGTGGACAGTACTGCATGAGGCGGATCCTTTCGAGTTTGCATTGTCGAGGGCCAGTTCAGGTTCGTGACAGCCCTACTTGGATTGACTGAGCTTCTTAGGCACAGCTCCCGTTCTGGCTGGTGCATGGTCTGGTGCGACGTTCCGCCCAGGTTGGACTTGGCCTTGCCTGCCACGCTTGACGAAGGCCTCCAGAGACCCAAGCTGCCCAAGCTCTTGCTGTAGCTGTTGCATACGAGAAACTGGCAGACATGACGCACCAAGCGAGCATTGCAAGAGCCTTAACGACCAAGACTCTGGTTCTTGTGCTCCTGCAAGTCCTCGACAGATGTGGTTTTCCCAGACACTGGTCCTCCCTCGTGTCTGAGGAAGTTGCCACCTGGCCATTGGGTCCGGCGATAGAATCACGGATGCGACCTAAACAGCCGCTCGCACCGCACTTCTCTAGTACAGTGTACAATGGCCGTCTACACGAGCGACTGAGGCATGGCGCTGAAGAGTCCAAGTCGCAGTCTTTGCGCCCAGGCCTGATATCCACAACCCCCATGTGGTATGGCCATATTGTCCACATCTGGTCGGCACCAGCGATGGCAGGAAAACTTAAGGGCGCCTCGCTCCAATTTCCGTCACGGTCCTTCGACCTGCGAGAGTCTACCTTCATGGACGACAGGGACAGGAGAGCGGCGATGCTTGCTGTGTTGAGCAGTCCAAAAAAAGCAGACACGATTCAGCATAGTTTCTGCTTCTGTGCATTTTGTTTTTGCGTCTCAGTCAGCTCTTGAGTCCCTCAAAGCGGTGCTTTGAGGAGCTGGTTCCGGGCCCGGGCCGCAGAGTGGGAACCGTCTTGAGCCAAAGTTTCGAAAAAAACAGGGCCGATTGAGGCACCGCCCGTTCCCAGTGGTGGAAACCATCTCGGATTCAAGAGCAAACCGAATCTTAAACACGTAGGTTCCGATACCGGGTTGCGATGCAACGATCTAGCTTCCATAGATTCAAGACTTGTTGCAGTTCGGGTGTGCAAGCAGAATCTCCGTGTGGCGTTCAGGGGGCGCCACCGAGCATACCCTCATCGGGCTGTATCCAGCCAGAACCTCTGTTTGGTGTTGTGCGTTCCCAGAGTTTCCATCATTTCGCGGGTCAGGGTGGCCTTAACCACGCGACATGCATCTCCAAGGTGGGCTTAGAATTTCCAAGCCAAGCCAACATGTCAACACAACCCAACCCAGCAGGGGACAAGCCCTTTCGTCTCCCCAGCGACAGCTCCTCGGAGTTTTCGACGCAGCATCTCCTAGAAAAAGGGGTTTCTGACCGACTGCCTGACGGCATCATGTCCTTTAGGTTTCCTAGCATCGCTGATGAGCGAAAGGTCTCTCTGCTGCGGAAGTCTGCCACTTGTGTGCGCGCATGCCTGCTGTTCGAATCCAATCTGGGTACCGTGAATCTTTGTACCCACTGCAGAAATGTTTCGATTGTTCATCAATTTTCAATGCCGCAGGAGGCGGAGAAGGGCTGCAACAGCTTTCTGTTGCATCTCTGGCTCTGGCTTCAGGCTTCCTCCAGCATCTCCAACTTCGACAGACCACGAGGAAAAAGCGCGGGGTAGTCCGCTCAGAGCTCGAAAGAATTCCCCCACCAAGGCTGGAACTTGCAAGCAAGAGCTAAGAATGCCCGCCGAGGTTTCTCAATCAGCGCAGCCAAGTTCGAGAGATGGTTTCTGCCATGGCCGCCTGCTCAACACTTGTGGGCGTTCAGTTTTCTTGCCGACAGCCCCATTTCCAGACAGATTCTCGCCTGATCCTTTGACTTCAATCATAGGAGATTCAGTGTTCCAGTTTGCTTATGTCCCGAATCCCGGTTGTCAGTGTAGCCGAACTCTTGTTTCCCTTCCTTCGAAGTGGGGCGTCGGGCTCTCTCTTCTCTCTCCCTGTCTCCCTCTCTCTCTCTCTCTCTCTCTCTCTCTCTCCCTCTCTCTCCCTCCCTCCCGCCCTCCCTCCCGCACTCACATACATACACACACCCACCCACCCACCCACCCACCACGCACGCACGCACGCACCCACCCACGCACCCACGCGCGGTCGCGCGGTCGCACGCTCGCACGCTCGCACGCTCGCTCGCGCGCACGCACGCACGCACACTCACGCACGCACGCACGCACGCACGCACGCACACACACCCGCGCCGTGCCAATTGCAGACAGCGCACATTACTCCCAACTTGCTTCCGAGCTGCAGACGGGCATCTTGCATCACTCACAGATGTCGGTTTGTTGTTCTACGTGCGGGCAGCATTGTTGCTTTGTCGAGATCCGGTCTAGACCACATGCCTGCTCACATCGAATGCTGGTGTTGGTGGGTTGCCCAGATGAAAACTATGACGACAACGTTCCCACGCTCAGCCAAGTCCTTAGATGCATGAGACTCATGCTCCGAACAGAAGCCAGAGTCACTTCGGCTTCGACGGCAACCACAACCAAGGTTTGGGACGAATGCGGCCTTGTACATCCTGAGGAGGACAGCTTGTGGCGGAGGTCGCTACTATCAGTCCGGATTCCAGCATCATGCCATGCTCAGCCGGTGTGCCCGCTTCGCACCACAAGTCAAGAGGAGTAAGTTGCACATTGTGGAAGCACAGGGATTGATCGCCAAGCGATTCTCCGGAGTCAGTAGTTCGTTGGAATTCTGGATGATGTTAAGGATTCAGGACTGGGGGTGGGCCGACGCTTTTACTGTACGGGCCCACGATTCCCGGTCCTTCCCTTTCGGCCTTTCGGGTTTCGGGTGGTTGGATGGAGGACCCGATGACGCAGCTTCGTGTTGGGAAGTAGCACCCCCCTGAATCAGTCACGAAAGCTAGCCTCCATGGCTAGCTGAGTTTCTTCTCAACCGAAGCTTGCAACTAGGGGTGCGGGAGGGGCCCCTGAAGGTGGCCCCTTTTGGACCAGTTTCCGAGCATATCTGGAGCTGGATGTGGCCGCGGGGCCACCGGGTCCTTTTTGAGTCGTGTTTCAGACCGCTCCAGAATTGAGAAACGAGCCCCCGATGATGCTCATGATGCTTGCCTGTCGGCTCCGCTGCGGGTCCCGATGATGCTCATGATCGCTCGCTGGCTTGGGTTAGGACTCCAAGTAGGATTTCGTTGCTTGCTTCATTCTGTTCCTGAAGCCCTTTTGCTTGCGCATCTTGCTGCTTGAGACTTGCATGATTTCTGAGGATTTGTCTTTCGTCTGTTGCTCTGCCTAGCTTTCGTCCCAGTCCCTCCTCCCCAAGTTGACATATTGGGCAGAGACACGGACAGACTGTCTTGTGTTTGCATACCGGCGGCGTGTCTCTCGCCTGCCCGCTGAAGGACCCTTTTTCTGGGGTGCATTGGTTCCGTTAAGCAGTCTCTCTTCCTTCGGTTCCGCTTTTCTCACAGTCCGTACAGTAGATCACTCGACAGCCAGGAGATGGAAATGGTCCGCGCAGCAGAAGCCAAGGCATTCCGACTGCGCTTCCGGCTGCGCAGCCTCGCACATCGCGCTTGGCCCAGGTTGTCGAAGAGCAGCTTGGCCAACTGAAAGGCCAGTCGCCTCCCCATGAATGCGTTGAGCAGAGCACTGGACCGGACCAGCGGTGAGGCTTGGTGGTGAAGATGCCGGCCCTTCGTAAGGCAGATCTTCCCTGTGCAGGAATTTCAGTCCTCGGCCTCAAGCCAAGCCATGCCAAGCCCAGGGCCGCAGTCAGCGAAAATCGGATGCGCAGTCGAACCGCAGACGCTCCTTTGGCAGCTTGGCGAGCAGATACACAGTGAGCCTGCCTTTGGCGTTCTGCCATTCAACAAGGCATTGTTTCTGATCCACGGGTCATGACCCTAGTGAAAGTGCTCACAGAAACGTGCCCCTGCATGCGTGCCGTGCTGAGACAACCCCTCAGCCAACGGAAAGGCTCGACGAGAAAGTGTGGGGGACACCCAGCTCAGTGCAGCCACGCTGAACGCGGCACAACGGCGGTTCGAGCGCGCTGGTTTTCAGGTTGGCGCACCTGGCGAAGCTCGCGGCTCAGGGGCCGCCTCAGCGGACTCTCTCAGCACTCTCTGAGTGTTCGTGCGCACTTGAGGCAGACTGGCTGGTCGGTGCTGGACGTCGAGGAGGCCCGGGGGGCGGCCGGCCGAGCTCAAAAGCTCAGCAAAAAAGTAAAGCTTCAACTTGCCTCAGGTCTGGGACGTGTTTTGCACCTACGCGGTGGGCGGCCGGATCAGTGTCGACGTCTCGGTGTGTTCAGCACAGTATTCAGCATCAGTGGTGTCACAACCCTCTCATTTTGGACCAGTCAGGAGGAATTGGAGGTCATTGCCAGGTTAACGGCAAAACGCGTAGCTTCCCCAAGCATCCTTGTGGAATCTTTTTTGCCTTGACATCTTGCAGCGTTTTCTTGCCGATGGTCGGGCTTTGTTTTCTCGGGCTTGCAAGATTCTGCATTCTAATTCTGACAGAAGACGCCGAAACTGTCGTGGCCAAGCTGCAACACGCGCGGTTTCGTTTGCCTTTGCTTGACAAGCTGCATGACGCTCCTTTAGCTGTATCACTGATCCTGCAGTTTCCTTTCGCGTGCGTGCACTCGACCGCAACGTTCTCTAGGTGCAAGGTCCCGATTTCGTGTCCCTGGTGCAGGACACGCGGGTGTGGCCTTGGTTTTTACTTGCAGAGGTCGAACTGGCTAGCTACTTGTTTGGTCCTGTCGAGGACTTGTATGACGGGGTGACTGATGACGAGGTCGAAGCATCGAATTCGATCAATGTGGGACCAGATCGGGGCATGGGACGGGTTGAGCATTTCTCAGGTGATGTTGCTGCAGCAGCACATCAGTGCCGTCCGAAAGCGTCACCACGCACGGAGTCGCTTTTTGCGGAGGGGCATGACAGGTGCTGTGGCCCGAATCCTTCGTGATCTTGTCCAAACGCGGTTTTGCAAAGACGCCCCTGCCACTCTTAGCCCGGTGAAGGCTTGGGCTTGGACAATCTCCCAGAGCGATCAGATGTCCGCTTCAGCGAGCATCTCCTCTGCAGCTGAGCATGATTGTCCTTCCTATAGGTATTGGTATCAGCATGCTCGGGGCTGCCAGCTGCAAGAGCTCTTGCGTGGAAGTTCGGGGGGGCTGACGTATCGGGAAGCTACCCTCGCATAGATTCCCTTGAGGACAGCACTTACAAGATGATTCTTTTATCGCAGAAATTCGGAAGCTTCAGAGCCGAGAGCACTTCTTAGGTTCTATGTGGCCCTGGTGAAATGGCTGGACCTTCAGCGGCCGATCTGCATTGGAAGCGATTGCATGCAGTCATGGTTTCGGCAGCACAAAGAGGGGCAGGAGGAGGAGCAAGAGTCGCCGACTTCGGTAGCAGGAGGAGTTGTAGGAGCAGCTGTGGAAACAGCCGAGGTTGCATTGGCATTTGCGGTCCCAGCAGTAGTAAGTAGCAGCAGAAAGAGCAGGAGGAGCAATTCCAGGCAGGAGTCCAGCAGGAGCAGTAGCACTAGCAGTAGCACTAGCAGTAGCAGTGCTAGCAGCAGCCAGCAGCAGTATCAGTAGCAGTACTGTAGTTTTGTTGCCACAGTTGCTTCCAGGCAGAGCAGAGCCGAAGCACGCACTGAGACCACCTTCGCTGCCGATGGCCCAGCGCACATCGATGGTCACGTGGATTTTGGGTCTCTTCGGGGCCACACGAGCTTGCACTGAGGATCGCGCCAAGCAGCGCTGCTCGCTGGTGCCTCCGGCAGTTTCACATGCGTAGTGACATGTTTGTTGTCCCTGGACAGTCACGAAATTCTATGAGTTTGTCCTCTTGGCGATTTGCCCTGATCGTGCCAGTCTCGTTTCGCCGACGGTACCCCGATCCAGGTGCTTCCGATTCGTCATCCGATGTTTCAATGCCGCACCTGATCGTGCATTTAAAGCTCTGCACCTGTCATCCAGGCGAGGAGTGATGCTGATACTCCTTCAGGCCTTGTTGCTGCAGCCCCTGTCCGGATGAGCTTGAAGCGACGGCTGAGAAGTCCCGGATCTGAAGCAAGACAAGCCGGGCTGCTGTGGGAATTCCAGCCAGGCTTCATGAACCTGGATGAGTTCAGACGACTCAAGAAGGAAGTGCCCCTTTCGCAAATAGGCTGTCACGTGACACGTCGCGAGGCTTCGACGCCGGTTGCTTTGTTGCGACGCATGATCCCGTTTTCACCTGAGGTTGCGGAGTCACTGACAGGTGCGCGTGACTGAAGGGGTTCGTACTAAAGCATCTACGGCTGAGCAAGTTCAAGAAAGAGGGCTTCTGGATATTTATGTACACCTTAAGCCTACGCGGATGGTTGTGGTTCAGCTTGTTCGGTTTGGCATGAGCAAGCTGTTGAGCACTGCCCTGTCCCTTTGCCTTGCTGCAGAGGTCCGCGCAACTCTCCGCGAGGCCTGCGTTGGTTGAAGCAGGAATAATGGGTGTGGGCATGCTGGGTTTGGGACTGCTGGAGCTGCACTTTCAAAGCATGGCATGCAAGGTGTCGGGAAAAAGGTGCTTGAGCAGAAGCAGCGCCAAAAACATCCGTATCAGGCCGCTGAGCGCACGTGAAGGTGATTTGTTGGAATGTTTCTGTATGGAATCAAGCAAATGAAGCAGGGCATCGGAAGCTTCTAATGAGGTATATAGAGGTCGTAGGCTGTAGGGAAGGTCGCATGTTGAAGCATGCCCAGGCCCTAGGCCGGGAACATGCCCCAAATCCCTCGCTCTCGGCCTTCTAGAGCTTCCTTGCTCTGCGCAGGGACGGAGGCGCTTCGAAGCGCAAAAGTCCGAGTTTGCGGAGCCACTGGCAGGGTGATGTCTGCAATTTGGCGGATGTGATTCGTCGTCCGCAGGACAGCAGCGACTCCGAGCGGAGCGACTCAGAGGATGAGGAATCTGCAGACTGCGATGACGAGGACAGTCACGGCATGTCTTGGCCGCGCAGCTCTGATTCACTGATTGCTGCCCACCTCTCGGGACTTGCAGGAGGACGCGGAGGAGGACTGCTTTCATGTCTCTGCAGGCGCCTGCGGTTGGGAGGGGAGATTGATCGGCAAAGATGGGTTGTAGCCATCTAGTCTGCTTCTCACAATCTGGCTCTCAGGTCGCGCGTCGTGATGCGGGGGATGTGGAGAGACCGAGTGGTCAGTGTGCAGTGTCAGAGCATGCGGCGCATGCCTGACGTGTCTAGTTTGTCGGAGTAGCTTCACCCCAAAAGGGGGCAGCGACGCCTCGACAAAAGGTGCGACCTTCGAGACATCAAGTTCAATTGGGATCGCTGCCTGTGGGGAAGCTGCGTTCCGATGTCAGCTAGATCAAGGGCCGCAGCAAGTGGAGACAGGATTCTCCGCCTGAGTGCGGTTCAAGTCACCTCGCTTGTCCAGTCGGTACTGCCTTGCAAGGCTCTCCGCTGACGATCGCATGAGTCCAGAACAGTTTTGAACATATCACGGAGGCCAATGCAACAATGGAAGTTGGCAAGTTTTGTTTGCAGGCTTCCAAGACTGCAGACAAGTGCTTTCACGACCAATTGGCCCAAGTGACTCTCCATGGGCCTCGCGTGTCCAACATTCTGTCCTCGCGTCACTGAGCTACTCTGCTCGGTGTTGTCCAAACATGTCCAAAGAGCTAGGACTCACAGCCCAAGCGAACGGGGCCCTCCGAGAGCGAACGGGGCCAAGTCTGCACTCCAATGAATGCATTCAGGCCCAAGCCAGCATTGCAAGCGCTTTTTGGGCGCAAGATTCGAGGCTCTGCACAAGAGAAAGACAGAGTAAACTCAACACCAGTCATCGAACCCAAGCTTCGGGCCTGTTCACCACTAAAGCTGCCGGGAACACAGGCGCGTCGACAACCGCAGGACCCGGTCGTCTGCCTCAGCGTCTTTATGTGGTGCGCAACCGTGGCAGTTGACTAACAGCTGCGCAGGCGGCGGGGCTCAGTAGAATAAGTGCGAGTTGTGTGTGTGTGTGTGCGTGGGGCGGCTAAGTACACCAGACCCAATTCTCACCTCCACCCCCCTTTTGTCACTTCTCGTGCCCCAAACTGCTGGGGGTGATCGCGCTCGCCGCTGCGCCTTCACCTGCAATGGGACGCACAAGCGAACGGGCGACGTATCTTTTAGGATGTACACTGTGTACAGCCTCGTCTCGACCGGGTTACTCCGCTCTTTCGCCCAAGTCCGCCTAGATTGGAGGCACCCTTCCGCAGAGCGCCGTCGTTGCTCTCGGCATGCCCATAGGTGGTCCGGCCTTGATCAAGTCGCATCTACAAGGGGTCCTTGCGCCAGGCCAAGCACTCTTTGCCCTTGATGTCTGCTGCGCAGCGCCTTGAGCGCACGGGCTTTCAGTGCCGTCCTGCGTGGCCCCGCCAATGCCTGCGACTTTTGGGCTAACTGCTAGCCCGCTTGCCGCTTGGGTCCCTGCAGAGACGCCCACTTGCCAGCGACTAATGCTCGCACTCTCACATGCTGCAGGCGACACCAGGCTCGGTGGTGCGTGCTGCAGGTTTTGATGCCACTCCTATACGTCAAGCTGACCACCGATGACCTGTGTCGAGGTCATAGCCAATCACGAAAGCTCCTCGTGAGGGAGCTTCGTTCATTGCCTCAGGGGGGGGGGGGTCAGGATTGGTGGGTTTTTTCGGCTATCCCCCATCTGGAGCTGG